TGCCTCGGCCTCTCGGGAGATGTTTGACGGGCGTTTTGTCTGCGTGCTTTGTGAGTCACCATTCCGTCGGGGGAGGTGATTGAACCAGTGTCGGGCGGTTGGTCTGGCGGTTCTTGTTCTTCTTCACCGAGTAAACTCGCCGTCCGGCTGTCTCCGTATGGCCTTCTTAAGTCCGGTGTGGTTGTTTGGTCCTGAGCCCTACGATTGTGATGACGTAGGACTTCGTAAGCTGCAGGAAGGTCCGGATGCCTGATTATAGAGTGGGTATCGTAAAACCACGCCTCGAGAATTAGCCGTTCTGCATTTTTGTTGCCTCGGCCTAAGATGGTAGCCCCCTGGAGGTCAAACGTATGCCCTGTTTCTCCAACGTGTGTTTCTACTTGAGAGTTAGGGTCTAATCTGCGAGTGGCCGATTTGTACTCTTGTAGGCGAGTTTGTAATTTGCGCACGGGTTATCCCACATGGCTGCAGTCGCCCTCATTGCAATTTATTTTGTAGATAACTGCTGAGGTTTTAGGCGGGTGGCAATGGGTCCTTGCATTGCATCAGACGGCGTCGAATTGTTGCCTGGGGTCGGTGGGCTATGCCTACTCTGGCAGGTTGTAACAATCGAGAGACCGCCTCAGAGACCCCTTCAACGTAGGGAGTGGCCCTCCAGACTTCAAGTTGCTGCTCATTTGGATGTGGAACTGTCAAACTTCACAATATCTGATAAGTATGTCCAACCACTGACGCTTTCGGTGGTGTGTCGTTCGCCTAACCAGACTTCTGATCAGGATCTCATTCTCATAACCAAACTGTACAACGGCAGGGCGCAGAAAGATGCCCTTATCATTTGGGATTTTAACGCTCTTGGCAATGATTCATAAACGTGGACTGTGCAGGAGCTGCAAGACAACTTTAATCACAATTTACTATACTGGGCAACGGACAAACTTCTCTGCCAGAAAGTTGGCTTTGGGAGGAAGCGGATATACGAATCCTAGGTTCTTGTCTTACAAAAGAGGAACAAGCGATCTCTGGGACAGTAGGTGTATTAGTCTGAGCTTTCGGTCTCGTACAGGAGTTTAGCGTCAGACTGTGGTACTGCAGCGTCAAATGCGAGATTTTGTGGTCAAGCCATGAAGGGGGTAGGAGCGCAGGGATGGTGTTCGCGATAAGGCTGAGTCCACGCCGTCTCACGGCGGCGTGATTGTGTGCACCCTTGACTGGGAATTGGGTTTCACGTCTTGGCCGCGGCAGCGGAGCATGTGATAGCAGGGAGGGTATATCAACGTGTCAAACACCCAGGCCGCCAGCCCAGACTAGTAAATGTACTGTCCCAGTGATCGCGCGTCCATCTTCTTCGCAGAAAAATATACGTTCCAAGCTCTGCTTCTCCCGGAACCAAAGTGTAAAGGAGCACACGCGTATGAAAAGCTTCCTTTTTTGGAAAAAAACTATTGATCTGAGCAAATGTTTATATGCAATAGGACGCAATTTAAGAATTTCTGCCAGCCCGTTAACGGTATCGAAAGCCCTGCCTAGTTCAAGTAAGATGACTTCAATTTTTATGTTTTATCAGGTTTCAGGATATTAACGGTTATTCTTGTCAGGATATTTATGGTGTTGAATATCTACTTCAAATGCTGTGTTTGCTGTCAGTTAACAATTGTACTAGTCTGGGAAAGAGTAAGTTCCCTTCCAGAACATCTCCGCCAGGATTTTCAAAATAACTCTACCTAGACAAACGGAATTATGACTCACCGATACCGCAGCAGTACCCTTCTTCTGGCCAATTCACGGCTGTAGCCTACAATGAGGCTGACAGTTCTTGGGTGGGCATTGAGATTATGGCTTCGGCTACGCTGCCTAACCCTTACGGGAGACAGTCTCCCTTGTCTTTGTCGGTAATAACATACCGCCTATATCATGCACCGCTGTGCGGCTGCTGGTTGGGCTTGAGAAAGGGCCCTTAAGGCACAACGGAACGAGTGAGTTCCGTATGAACGATCGGTGAGCGTCCCCTACCATTGTACATTCCTGATCGAAACCGACAGGGCAGTGGGCTCGTGGCCCAGTGGTTAGAGGCGTGGACTTCTAACTAACAGGTCGCCAGATCGAGTCTCGGGTGTTCTACACTTCGGGGCGGGCATGACGGGCTGACGACGGCTAATAAGCCAGAAATAACCATTCCGATCTCCCTTGACTTTGTCGGTAATACCATACTGCCAATAATACTTGTATTTAATGCCAGTTTAAAGACATTGTCAGGGAAGCTAAAACACAAATCCGACCAGCAGTGAAAAAAACTCCTGACACAAAAAATAAAGGTGACTCAAGTCGCTCGAGAGCTAGTTCACTACCAAGCGGACATCACTGCAATCAGCGAGACCAAGTTCTCCGGACAGGGTTGGTCGGGGGTGCCAGCTACACGTTAGTCTGGAGCAGCCGGGTAAAGACAGATCGGCCCGACCCTGGCGTCGCACTTGTCATCTCGAACAACTTAGTTAAACCTCGGTCCTGTCTACCAAAGGACAAGCACGGTGCCTACCTCTTCTGACAGCTGAATTCGCGGTCATCATCATCGACTACGTCCCCATCAATAAGTAGTTACGACAAAGCGGAGAACAATATTACGAAAAGTCTCATGTGCCCCAGGCAATTATGCCGAAAACGGATAAGGCTGATTTAGGTTAATAATTTCGATGCCCGCCTTGGGAGAGACCTCGCTGTCTATAGGGAGTGCTGGGTCATCAAAGTTTTGGTGGTGACGACGCCAACGGCCTCTACATATTGCGTAAGGCGCAGCCTTCTTACCAGTATATTTGCTCCTACTCCAACGTGGGAAAATTCAACAGGGATACACCACAGCGGGGACAGTTGCTTGACTACATCCTCGTCCGAAGGCAAGACCGACAGGAAATACTGGTAACAAAGAGATTTACGACATCGACGGCTAGGCAAAACACCTCTCTGAAATACGGCTTCCACCGAAATCTCGCAGAAACATGTAAGGTAAACGATTACCAAGTTAGTTGACTGCTCCTCTGTTGAATGTGTCCCCTAACCGCATATATTTTGACAATCAGTCAACATGAGCGTTCGACCGTCGGTTTCGACGATGTCCAACATGTGCTCCACAGCAGCGTGGGAGCAGGGATGGTGGTCTGCGCAGGATATATAGTGGGAGTAGATTTGTGCTGCATCTACCACACTCTCTTCTCCGCCACCTGGACCCGAGTTCAAGACAGAGTCCAGAAGACCGGAGACCGGAAAGGGCGCAGGTGGATGGCATGGTCGAGCCCGCACCTTGGCGCTCCACGCCAAATCCCCTGGTCCACACAACGAATAACCAGGTTTTTGACCAAGAATCAGCAGAGAATGGAGACTGGCACGGCCGAAAGCGCACCTAGACGTGCCGTCCACGCCCGGCTCGGATCCCACACAGTGGGAGTGCCATAAAGACCAAATGAAGAAGGGGCCCTTGCAGCCTGACTCTCAGACGACCAGCCGGCCACTTCACACAAGCACATACAACACTGGTCGACTGCGAGGTCCAAGTTATCCCATCCGTTGGCAGCCTTTTAAGCCACGGCTTTTAGCGCACCGTGTTAGATTAAAGTGCGTCAGATCGTTTATAGTGGCGAAAATGCGCTGAATTATTGACCTCACTATCCCTTCCCATTTCCACACCTCAGCCCCTGTCCGAGCCGGTCAGCAGACTGGAGCGGGAGATGGGCGCGGTGGTTGGCATATCTAGTGGCCTTGTCTGCTCGCGCCAAATGCACGACCTGGCCCCCTAAACACAGGCACCAGGATTTCACAAAACGATACTTGAGCGGCGTGTCTCACATGTGTGAGAGTGGCGTGGAGGGAACTGTTTCGGCCCGACTCCCAGCTCACCATTCCGCCTCTCCACACAACACACACAACCGGACGGACCGCGTGAACCGAGTTGGGGCGTCAGTCAGCAGCCTTCATATTCGCGACTCCTGACGCACCGGGATAGTCTTAGGCTCGAGTCACCCATGCGGCAGGAGCCGCACGGAGACCGAGTCGAGAAGTACACTCCCCTCTTGCGTGGGAGGTGGCAGTTGGGTGCTTGCGGTGGGTGATTTTGGTGTACGGTGATAAGGCAGTGAGGGAGAATGTCGTGGTATGATGCGGCCGGTGATTGTCTACCGCAGGTTTTCGTTGATGCGTATGTGGCTGAGCAGGCCCATGCGATGCATGAATGTGCGATGGCAGGGTGGGCAATGGAGGCGGGTGCGGCGGGTGTAGGTTGGTGCTCCACTCGCTGGCTCGCCAGTCTCTGTGCGACGGATTCGCAACTGACTGATCAGGCCGATTTGCGAGGTGAGGGTGCGGTCTGTGTGAGGACAGGTGTAGTCCTGGTCCTCACCACTGGTGTCGACGGTGGCGGTGTTCCTGTTTGTTGGTGTTTCAAGATTGTGTGTAGTGTTGGTGTGCATGGCAGACGAAAAAACGGTAGCCGTTGGGGCAGCGGTGGAGGAGGAGGGGAGCAGGAATATGGAATTAGTGGTTCAGAATAGCGGTGTGAGTTGGTTTACGGCGTAGAGGACGGGGAGGAAGTGGACGGAGGGACGACGGTTTGTGCGGTCCGTGTGCTGCAGTTGTTCTGAAAGTGTCTAATGAGTCAAATTCGCGCCCCGAATATCCGTTGACACCGTGGACTTGTTGGAGGCAGTTGCACGTTGGCATTGCGGGATGGGCGCAGCAGAGAATTGTGTGCCTCAGGTTTGGCCCTCGCCTCGGCAATGCGGTTGGCCTCGAGGATTGCTGCGCCTATCTTCACTGTTCTTCCCCGCGCCGGTCAGTCTCGGGCGAGGTCTCCCCAGTTGGCCGGATTGACTTGCGGACGTTTCAGTGAGGACTTCAGAGTGTCCTTGTATCGGCGGATTTGGCCTCCTTGGCGGCGGAACCCGTAGAGACGTCTGCATAGAGTGGTCGTTTGGGTAGCCGCTCGTCGTCCATCCGCTCGAGGTGGCCGCTCCAGCTCAATTGCTGTTGACGGGCTTGTGAATTTTCAGTTTCGTGCTGAGCTGGAGACCGTGACGATTCCAAACTGTGTTAAGAAGGCGGATAAAGGCTTGACTTGGCTTTGAAATCCGGCGGGCTATTTTGTCGTCGATTTTGGTGCTGCGGGAAGGGTACTGTCCTGATATGGGAAGATTTTCACCACCTGCAGTCGGGTTCTGTTTACAGTGGTTGCGGATAAACGCGATTGAAAGTGCATCCGCCGTCGATTGAGGAGGTGGCCGTCCGTCCTGCAAACGGACGCGGTAGACGTCCATCATTATAGCAGAGAACACAAGGCTGAAGAGGGGAGGGGACGCCAGGACGCAGCCCTGCTTCACTCCGTTGGTCACTGCAAATGCCTCTGAGACAGCTCCGTTGTCCGTGATGCGCGCCATTATGCCTTCGTGGCGCTGACGCACCATCTGAATTAATCGCTCCGGACAGCCGAATTTCTGCATGATCTTCCACAGTCCTTCACGATTCACCGTGTCGAAGGTTTTCGTAAGACCCACGAAGGTAGAGTACAGGTGGGTCCGCATCTCCTTAAACTTCTCCTGTAGGTGGCTGGCAACGAAGATCATGTCCGTGGTACCGCGACAACGGCGGAGGCCGCACTGGCTTCCCGGCAGATGAACCTGTTCCAGATGATTATTCAGGAGGTTGAGGAGGATGCGAACAAAGATTTTCCTTGCAATTTTCAATAAGAAGATGCTTCAGTGACTGTTGCAGAACCGGTAGTTGCTTTCCGCTTGTATAGATGCACGATTGTTGCGTCTTTTAAAACCTGCGGGACTTCACCTTGTCGCCTCATCTCCTGAAAGAAAACAGTCAGATGATCAATGAGTTGAGGGCCGCCGTGCTTATCGACCTCAGCGGGGATCGTGTCCGATTCGGGCGCTTTTCCGCTGGAGAGCTGTTGCACGGCCCTGATTGTTTCGTCGAGAGAAGGCGGGACGTAAATGTCGACGTTGGTCTCCACTTGCGGCAGACGGGTGACGACGGCGTCGGATATGGTGGAGGGGCGGTTGCGGATGCCTCGGGAGCGTTTGGCTCATCGCTGCGGAATTTGTCTTCTCAGTGAGTATGCTGCTGCCATCGACGCTGAGGAGAGGTGCAGAATCATTTTTTGGCGGACCGTAGACAGCTTTAATCGCGGAGGAGACGTTCTTAAATTCTTTACGGTCCGCGTACCCTTGGATTTCCACGGTCTTTTGAGCCGATCAGGCGTCCTGCATCTCGCGCAGTCACTGTTGAACGAGGCGACGACTACGGTAGAAGGCAACCCTGTTGTCATCGGTGGAGTAGTCGACGTTGGCTTTGTGCAGGCGGTATTCTTGGCGAGAAAGTTACTGAAGGCGGCGTCGTTGTCGTCGAACCAGTCCTGGTATTGGCGGCGTGCGCGACCGAGGACGGCTAGCGCCGTCGACTGGACCGTGTCTCGCAGTTGACACCATCGGTTTTCCCCGGAGACGTTCTCACCAGCGGCGGCGGCGGCAGCGATGGGGAGGTTGTCTGGCCGTTGAGTTAGTTCGTTGCTGAAATGGACAAGGTGAGCAGGCAAAGACAACAAGGCAATATTCAGCTTCCCTGGGGGTCGCTTAGCTTGTGGTCTCCTGCTAGGCTGTGGGCGAATACGCATCATCGAGATGACGAGGCGGTGGTCGGTTCACCCGTCAGCACCCGGAATCGTTATTTTCGCCAGCACTTCCCGCTGGTCTCGCCTCCGGACGAGGACATAGTCCAGCAGGTGACACTGAGGCGACCGAGGATGTATCCAGGTGTCCTTCCCTCGCTGTGGCAGACGGAAGAAGGCGTTCTTTGGGATGAGCTTGTGTTTTGTGCAGGTGCGGAGAAGGAGCAGACCATTGTCATTAAAGTCGTGGAGGCCATGGGTACCGATCACACTTCTCCAGGCAGCATGGCCTGTGCCTACGCGGGCAATCAAGGACAATCAACTTGTCCGCCCTCGATACAGTCGCCAGGAGGGCGTGCAGGTCCTTTTAGTATTTGTCTCCAGCGGCGTCAGGGCTGGTCTTTGGAGAGCGTAGGCGCTGATGATGGTGACAAATTCGCCTCCTCGGAGAGGCAGGCAGGAGCTCATCATACTGTCCTTGATGCCCTGCGGCCGATAGGCCAGTCATCCTGCGATTCCGTTCTGGATGACGAAGACGACATCCGCCATACAGTCTGAAAGAACTGCATGATACAAAAGCAAACGCCAATGAGGATACATAGTAACGCCAACTGCGAAAAGCTGTCCACTTTATCGTCATGAACGTCCTCGGTCACCCGTAAAGGCAACACCAGGATTGTCTTTATGATAGCAGCGAAGAAGTCCGCAATATGCTCGCCGAAATCGATGAAGTGAGCGACTACGCAAATACGGAAACTGCATTCGAAGCAGCCTTCTTCAGATGTCGCTGTCTCGTGCAGCAAAAAACAACGGAAGATGAAGGACCCCTAGATGGCACACAAGACAATGAAAATCCGAGGGTACGCGGACCAAGAGCATATGAAACACTTCCTTGCGTCAACATAGACGGCCTACAGCCTTACAACGAAAGTACGACATGTCTGCTTAGCTTCGGAGGAACAACAATGTCGACAAAGAAATCGCATGTTCTTAATCACAGGATTGAGCAGTTAAAAACCGTTCCCAGTCGCATATCTACAATCTCAGAGGCCGCCATCAAACGGCGCCTCCGGCTTTCCCCACCAGAAACTTCCAGGGCAGTGCGACAATCCTGTACTGGAGAAACACTGGCCTCGACGAGATCCCGGCCGTATTCTTCAAGCACGGCATACCCGACTGATGGACAAGCTAACGACGATATTCCAGGAGATTTGGCGCCAAACACAAGCCTTTCAGAAACTCAGGGACGCAAATGTCATAAGTATTCACAGCTGAAGCGGTCGCTGACAAATGCCTGATAACCAAGGAGGGAATTTTTTGATCAAAATTGCTAGGAGGGTGTTTGCAAGCATTCACCTAAATACGCAATTTTCGCTGAAAGCTGTTGTGACTTCCGACGACACCGTGAAACCACAGACATGGACTTCGTTGTCCCGTGCATGCAAGAGAAGTAACAGAAGATGAACACCCACTTGCATGGACACAGCAAATGTCTCCAACTCAGTGCGTCGCGAATAATTCCGTAAAATCATACACAACTTAATCCGTCTTTGACGAATAATGAATGTGTCAGGTCCTCAATGTGATAATGCGCGTGTTACGGTCAATAAAACGGTCTTCGAAGCATCCGCAATTACCTGGGGATCAGAGCATGCCTGAGTTCTCTCTCTCCTTTCCTAAACTGACCACTCTCATGTTCTTCGCCTTGCTGAGAAACATGTACCGTTTGAACACTCGGGGGTCAGCGTCGTCTTTCAGACCAATGACCATCATCTCTAAACCTGATGAATGCATGCGCCAGAGGGACTTCAGTTACCACTGTCCGCGGACTCCTCTTTGCAGGTCACCCTACATTCAGTGTTCCGACGGAAGCAGGCATATAAAGAGGCATAGAATTATTCGCCAACGTCTGAGCTAGTTTCGGGCTGACCATCAACACGGACCAAATGGTAGCCGTGCAACGATCAGCACCAGAAGAGGAACACACTACACCTAATATCGACGTGTACGGATTACGGCCCGCGTCTGTGAACAAGCTTACCTAACTAGGCGGCACCATCGCAAGCAACACAGAGGTGTACGACGAAGTGGCCCACCTAATATCCGATGCCAATCAGACCCACGACCGGCTGTAGGCCTCCATTTGGAACCGCCGCGGACCTTCTATTGTTCGCGAAGCTTAAAATATACAGTGCGGTAGTCTCGACAGCGCTACTGTGAGGGCGGATACATGGTGCGTCTATGCCAACTAAACGGAGGAATTCAGCCACTGCCATCCCTAGCGGTATCCGGAGGATTCTAATGCTTAGGCGGCAAGACAGGATCTCGGGAACGGAGGTCTTCGAACGGATCGGATCCCTTAGCGACAACACTGGACAAAGGCCTGTAGGTCGCATTTTAGGAGCTTAAGTAGGATGTCACGATCTGCCGACTTATATCGATATGCAACTTTCAGATCATCGGCATACATGAAGGGCTTACCATTCTGAAATAAATTGGGTACATCGTTAACAAAAAGGCAAAATAAAAGCGGGTCGAGTACACTACCCTGAATGACTTCACTCCTCAAACATGTGGGGTTGGAGATAGCATTGGAAATCGTAACTCGTTGTGTACGAGCGCCCAGATAGGAGGATATAAATTTCAAAAGTTTTTCACCTATTCCGAAAGAGGACAGTTTCAAGAGAAGGAGAAGAGCATGGTCAACACGATCAAAAGCCTTAGTGAAATTGAAATACATTGTGTAAAGTGCAAAACCATTGTGCCTAGATTGGAGAACATAGTCAAAGAAAGAGAGCTGACGGGTGTCACAAGAGCGAGCTTTGAGGAATCCAGGCTGAGCAGCACTCAGTAGGTTATCCGCTGTTGAGTGACACATCAACTTATCTTTGATCAATGTTTCTAATATCTTCGAAACTGCAGGGAGGGTGTTTATTGGCCGAAAGTCATCAAATGACGTAGATTGGCCATGCTTAGGAATGGGTAAAATATGTGAGCCCGCCCACAAAGTAGGATAAGTTTCACTTTCAAGAGCGAGATTAAATATCTTGCACAAGAGGGATGGGATAATCGTATTTGCATCCGCTTTTAAAATGCTTACTGGGACACCAACAGGTCCTGGGCTATGAGATTGACGAAATCGCCTAATGGAAACAGTCACATCCCACAGAGTGAAAGTTATAGTTTTGAGAACTGCCCCGGTCAATGCCTGCATGGTCGGAAGTGAAGTGGTCGATTCTTCAATGAACGTTTTGGACAGGAACGCATTGAAGCTATCAACGGTAAATTGGGCATTAACTACAGGATATCCAAGAGCGTCTCGGAGGTTGGGATGTTGCGTCTTTATTTGAGTTTTTACTATACGGGAGAAAAGTTTCGAGACATTTAACAACAGGTTTTCAGTGAATTGGACCTGTTCAGCTAGCTGTTTTTCTTCAGAACATCTCTTAGTCTGCTCAAAAATATGACAAATCAAGGCCAGTACAGAAACGTTGTTCTGAAGATGGAATCGCCGAGAAAGTCTGCGCAACCTGTGACGAAATGGCAAGGGTAGGAAAACCTCATCCCGAACATTAATTATTTTCTTACAGGGGACAAAACGAGAAATAGGCGGATCCAAAATTTCGTACAGTTTTGCAATGCAAACAGTTACGTGCGAACTAAGGAAGAAATCAGTCCAGTCGTCGGAATGAAGATGTGCTCATAATTCGGCTGAGCGAGCTTGTCGAAAATCTCGGAAAAAGCTACACTTTGGGGACAACGTTTTGCCCGCCTCCAGTTCCAACGTTAAAAAACCATGTTGTGTGCTAAGTCCCCGAATGGTCCTAGGAATGACACTGACGAAGGCATGCAGCCTCTACGGAAAAGTAGATTAAGCATGCTTGATTCTCGGGTGGGAAAGTCGACAACCTGACTTCACATCCAAACATCCACAGCCTCAAGAAAGTCTTCGAACCTTCTGGGGCGGGGAAGCGGAGACCAGCGAACTTCAGGGAGATTAAAATCACCCGCAACCAATTGATACTTATAGCTTACGTCGGACGCAGTATAAAATTCCTGTGAGAGTAAACGATCAAAATTGTCGTTGGCGTTGGGAGGGCGATAAACACAGCCAACGAGTAAGGCAAACTTATATTTTAGTGCAACCTGGATCCAGCAGCTGCCTTTTACTGCGGACAAATGCAGGGGGTTCAGCGGCAGAAATGTAGGTGTTTGTTTAACGTAGACGCAACTGCTTCCACCATGGCTGTCTTGACGATCATTTCGAATGCAATTATAGCCGAGAAGAGAGAGTTCGTAGTCAGCAACGGAGGCTGATGCCCATGTCTCAGTTACTAAAACAATATCTGGACCATGGACGAACACCAGAGTCTGAAGCCGGAATCTGTCATATAAAACAAAAAATTTTGAGGGGAAATGCTGTTTGTTTCTGAGGAAGATGGGCTACGTCGTCCAGTGCTTGGCTGCCCACGGAGCAAACGGTCCGGATGTACCCATCCGATTTGTAAAAATGTTTGTGGCATTAAAAGATTCTAACGTGGATAAAAAGGGGTAGGACTTGAGGAAGGAAATAACGGGCAGGGAAGCTGGTAACGATTGTAAGCTTACTCATTTTCAGCTGGAAATCCGCGGGCCATATATGCAGCACATTCTCGCCGGAACGAAACTGAGGATCAGATGAGTTAACTGATCCAGTATGGACATTAGCGTGAGGAATACATTGATAAAACGGCCGTGGAGGAAACATGTTAGGGGGTGCCGGACGCATTGGTTCCATTGGAGCAAGAGTTCTAGTAAAAGGCGGGAATGTTGGTATATTTGGCCTAACCGCCCCGATATGAGGGCTGATGGGCAGTTGGGAACACGTTACGTTTTGAGTCGGGGTATTTGAGGCACTGTTTGCCGATTTTGGAGGAAAAGATTTTACAATGGTGCTGGATTTTTTGGGTGTCCGCGTGGCTGACACAGCAATTGGATTTGCCTTTGACTTAGACACATGCTTGGGCTTGCTAGGGGTTGCTGGGGCGTCTGTATAGGCGTATTTATAGCAGGCGTGTTGATGTGTTTAAAGATTTCGGCATTAAGAGTCGAATTCCCTACGGAATTGACTATGCCATGACGTGCAGAGGCCGCAGATATTATAGCAGAAGACTTATTCAAATTGAGAATTGGTGTCATCATCTCGGCGTTGGTTTTTGATAATTTCAATTCCCTGCCAGCACCAGCCCCGCCTATCCCCGCCTGGCCCCCTCAATAATGGCGGGGCTAAAGGGGGCCATGAGGGGGCTAGGCGGGGCTGTGGAGAGGGCTGTGGCGGGGTATGCAACGCGATAGCCCCGCCTGGCCCCGCCAGCAAAAAAAATGCGCAGGGGAGGCCACATCCCCGCCCACTTTTGGCACCACTTTAAAATATCGTCCCGATTGTCAAATATACGAATTAATAACACACACAGATTGTAAACCGGTGGACAAATAAGAGTTTACGCAATGAGGGACTTAAACAAAACCTCAATATATTGTGCTCATCCGCAGCTACATTCAGTGGGCGTAAACGGATG